AGAATTAAAGAAGTATCAGAAGAGAAGGGAGTTGCAAGGCCATATGGAGCTGATGGGAGAGTAGGAGTAGGTGATTTGCTCTTGCAGATCTGACATGGATATAATGAGCTGAATAGCATCCTTTATGCTGTAACTATTTTATGGCTGTAAGCTGGAGAAGTCCAGCTGGTCTTACTCTTGTACCAGAACAGAAATTGCTGGAAAAGCTCAGCAAGTCTGGCAGCATCTGTGAAGAGAAATCAGAATTAATGCTTCAGGTTCAGTGACCCTTCCTCAGAACTGATAGAAGTTCTGAGGAAGGGTCACTGGACCTGAAATGTTAACCCTGATTTCTCTTCACAGATACTGTCAGACCTGCTGAGCCTTTCCAGAAATTTTTGTTTTTGTTTCTGATTTATAGCACCCGCAGTTCTTTCAGTTTTTACTTAATCTTGTACAGCCTCGCAATTCCTTTCCCATCAGTTACTTATCTAACTTCCTTCTGAAAGGCATAATTGAATATGTCTTCAACATCTTTCAGGCAGTGCACTCCAGATTCTAACCACACACTGTGATTAAAAAGTTGTCATTGGTTTTTTGCCAATCATGCTAAAACTCTGTCATTGGCTCTAGTCCCTCTGTCAATGGGAACATTTTCTTTCTAGACATGTTATGATTTTGGACGCCTTATTCAAACCTCTTCTCTTGGCCTGTTTCCCACTAAGACAACTACAGCATCTCCAATTTATTCACTGAAGTCCCTGATTCCAGAATTATATTCAGTCGACATTTTTCAATTACAGTGTGAACACAGTGTAAATGTTCAATTCATGGAAGCACTGCAGTCACTTGATTATGACTTTATTTAATCCATAAATTCTTTTGCTGTACATTTTCAAGCAACTTATATCTGAGAGATTACTCTTAGTAGTGAATGATCACAAAATCTTCATCTCTCTAATTTGGGTTAAAATGAGGCTAAACTAATAAGATGAGAAACTACTGAACAAATTGGTGATTTAGGGCATTGTTTGAAATACAGGCAGCAACAAAACATTTATTTATAATTGTTACATTTTCAAAATTATTTTAATGTAATGTTATCAATACAAAGGACTGGTTTAGGGGTGAGGCATTAACTGAAGACTATTTGAGAAGACTATTTGACACAAACAATGTCATCTGCAATGGCTTCCACTTTGAAAATGAATCTGTCTCTGGATATGCAGATTGATGCAAAAATGTGTAACTCTAGTTGTGACAAGAAACTCAAGATACTGAGACTATTCCCACTGCACAGGGCCAGTTCACAAGGCGAACTGGGCACTTACTGCATGTGGCGGTGGTGGCATTGGGGGTTTGGGGACGGAGGGATGCACAAATCTGTGGGCTTTTAGAATAAAAAGCTTCCTAACGGATTCCTGACGGATAAGTTCAGAAACAGTATTTCTGACAGTTGATTTCCTAATGTGTGTTGACTTTTGTTTTTTTTTTCACTTTTACTGCTACCAAACTCTATATAATGTTCTTGTAAGAATGATGGTATGGTTGATGTTAACTTCATGAGGGTTCTGAGGAAGGGTCACCAGACCCGAAACATTAACTCTGATTTTTTTCTTCACTGATGCTGCCAGACCTGCTGAGCTTTTCCAGCAACTTTGTTTTTTTCCTTCATGAGAGTTACATTGACTCAGAGATATCCAAGCACAATGTTAGATGAAGGTCTACACTTTGAGGACCTTTGGGAATTGTGGTGTTAGACAATGTAACAATTTCCTTAATGTGTTTAAATTAGCACTCAAGCTTCTCTGCAATAAGAGCATGCAAATGAGACCCATGAGAAGATGATGATTATTTGGCACCTTTGGCAAATTGTGTTGTGTTCAATTCAGGCTCTGTACAGTACCCCCTGGCGATGCCATCATTTCTTATTGACTACTCATACCTGCCCCATATAGCTTCAGGCCATGCCCTGGTCTCCTTTTCTAAGCTTTCAATGAATATGAAACAAAATCAATGGTTTAGCAAAATGTAATTTCTTTTCCCAAAAGACCTGAGGAAATAGAATTTGCAAACGTTTGCAAGTAGTATGCATGAAAAATAAATCCCTCTCCTCTACGTATTTTGTTGTTTGTACCGGAAACTGAATATACTGTTTAAAATGTAAAACTAGATTTTCTAGACAACATATGTATTATTCATTAATCACCACCTAAAGCCACCAGCCATTAACTAGATCTTGTGTTTTATACATGTAAAAGATTAGAAAGTGCTCAAAGGAATACTCACATAAAACTAAGATATACCACAGCATACATATTGAGTTCACAAAGATGTCTCCTGTGAGGAATAGGACTTCAACTTACATTACAACCTATGCTGAAGATCTGCCTGTCCCTTGTTGCAAAGGATGCATCTGATCATGTGGCCATATGTCATTTGGAATGTGCCGTATCACATGTCCCTCATGGAGATGCAGAAAAACAACTTGGACCACAAATCCATTAGGTAATCCATCCCACAAAATGTTCCTGTGAGCAAAGGAGATGCGAGATATTGTTGGATGGTTCTCTGGTGAAACTGACAGTCAGTGGGCAGAATGCATCATTTACCAAAACTTGCCACCAAGCACCAAGACTTAGCTCGGCCAGCAGGGAGAGAGGGATTTCTGTCTGATCCTTTCTGTGTTCCTGGAATCTCACCCACCATACATTGCACTTGAAGTGTCTGTGGTGGGGAAGAAACCATTATCTACTTTTCTGTAGAATGTGCCTTTGCACAGAAGCTCTGGAGAGTGATGCAATGGTTTTTGTTGAAGTTCATCATGAGCAGTTCTGCGATACAGGACTCTGCGCTCTTCCCAGGGACATGCATGCAGATAAATGTCAACAGCACCTCGGAGACCATTAATTTGGTGAAAGGCACTTTGATATCTGCAAACTAGCACATTTCAAGATCTAAGACTACATACTGCAGTAAAGCTTGAAGCAGCTGTGAGAGAGATACAATTGGCAAAGGTTGCTAAATAAGAACTTTCAAGCATTGTGCATCACCAGTGCACAGTGGCAGTAGTGTGTATGATCTAAAAGATGCACTGCAGAAACTCACCAAGGCTTTTCTGACAAATCCACAGCCTTTACCACCTAGAAGGAGAAGGGGAAAAGTTGTATGGGAACTTGCTACCTGCAAGTTACCATCCAAGCGCATGCTTGGAACTATATTGTTATTTGTTCACTGTTGTTGGGTCAAGGTCCTGGAATTCTATTCTTAACTGTGCTATATGCGTACCTACCTTAAGCAGATCAAGAAGGCACCATCTTCATGGCAGTTAGGGATGAGTAAAAAGTGTTGGCCTAGACAGTGATATTAACAATCGGTAAATTTTGAAAAAAATGTGCTGGAAACTATAACACTCCTCAGACTAAAAAAACCAAAGAACTGGGGATACTGGAAATCAGAAAAAAAAGCAGAAATTGCTGGAACACCTCAGCTAGTCTGGCAGCATCTGTGGAGAGGACACAGTGTTAAATTTTTGGGTCCAGTGACCCTTCTTCAGAAATGTCAGACTGAATACCTGACAAAGAACGTACTTTGTTAACACCAAGAATATTGACATTCTATTGAGGCAGCTCAGAGTGGAAAGTGCTGTAGGGATAAAAATTTATAGCCATTACGCTTCTGCAGTGGTCAGTTTGAAATGTTTTGCCCTCAGGCTATATACCTAATATGGAATGCATATATTAAATATTAAGATTATTGCAATTGATTTGAGGTGCTTAAGGTTGAAACATGTTCTGTTGAGACCAGTTGAAAATGATAGAATTTGTAGTAAACCTGAAGTGCTAATTATTTTATAAAGTATTTTTACAGTGTGTATTAATAAAGTATTTTTTTAAGAAAGGGCATATTAACTCCTTATTGCAAATTATGTATTATTTCGCCCAAGATATTTTTACTTTATAGGCATAACTACTTGTTTACTCAGTGTCCGTGGGGAATGGGTAATGTTGGTTAGACAAAAATGCCAGTAATGCATTTGCAATCAGTCAGAAAATTACGCTAATCTGGGCTTTGAGTTCTTGCGGGAGCAGAGCGCAGGGTATCAAGTGAGCAATGTTGAGGGAAAATGGCACTGCAGAACCGTGGGAGGATGAGAGTGGGGTGAAGAAATTCGATAAATGTTAATAACTGTGAGTCATTAATTTTCACAATTCAATTATTCAAAGGGTGTGGGAGGCCAAAAAATGCCACCTAGGACAGCAAATGCCATTGCACTAGCTCTGTCATTGGAGCAGAGAAAGTCAAAAAGAAATTTTATTCTGAAAGAAAAAAATTATAATTTTAATAGGATAATTAGAAAATAGTTCTTTCCTCTGGTTGTTGTTAGTGATGAGAGGTAATCAATTTAAAAGAATCGTTAATTAGACAGAGCAGTGAGATAAGGAGAAACATAATTAATTATGCAGAAGGTTATTAGCTCATTAAGTGTGTTGCCATTGGGAATAATTAAGGCTGAAACCATTGTATGTTTCGAGGTAGACCACTATTTAAAGTTGAGATGCATACAGTATTATTGGAAGTTTGATTGTTCTAGATTTTTTTGAAGTAAACAGATCAGAAATAATGTGCTAAATGCCCCTTGCCCCTTGTTGTAAACCTGTAAAACTGTGGCACAATAACTAAGACAAGCAAAGCCATGGGAATGAAACAGAGAAAAAAATTTGAGAAAATGTGCACTTGAACAAAAAAAAATCAACTTTTCTAATGTAGCTATCTCCAAAATGAAGTTTCAGTAGAAGAATGATGTATGCTTGCTTTAGCAACATTGAGAAGAACCTCACAGAAGGGCAACATTATCCTACTAAATTGCAGAAGGGCAACACTATTATATCAATGCCATGGGACATTTTGTGTTCAGAATGTAGATAGACCGTGCACTTTAATGTTGCATGATTATGAAAGGCTTTGATAGATTGAAACAAACAAACAACAGAAAGTCCCCCTAAATAAACTTTCTGTCTTTATTGTTGTGGACTCTTTTGCTTTTTACAAAATGTACACATATTAATACACAAATACACTGCTGTAAATCTCAGAAGTAATGGGATTGCACTGCCCTCAATTCTAACATTATAAAGAAATCAGAGCAGTTTGTACCTGTCTTTAGGATTCCATTTCAATACCTGAAGTAGTCATGTAACTCTACCTTCCCATAAAAGGTGCTGCATTTATACTAGTTAAGAAAATGTGATGTACAAATGGATAGTATGTTAGTTAACATTTCATTATCTTGTTCTATGTATTATTAAAATTACACTTAAATGGGCTATTGGATTATGTTTGATTTGGGTGTTGCTTATTTCCACACAGTCTGCAGCAAATCAGAAGTGTTGTGCTACACAGTCTCTCTCTCTCTCTCTCTCTCACACACACACCCACACACACATCCATACAAAATCTATTTCTCATCCACATGACCAAAAGGAATGTCACAGTTGTGACATAACCATAGACTTTATTATCTTTCCAAAGGGTCATTATCTCAGTCCCCTAGTTTAGGAAAGCATGCATTCTACATATACAACTAACTCAAAATCATTCGAAAACTCAAAATCATTCTAAATTTCATGAGATGGATATGTTCATAACTCTAAAAAAATTACTAGTTGGAAGCTTTACAGCTGAACAAAGCTCACTTGCATAATATGTTATCTCAGCCTGTTGCTGAGTTCAGTTATAGCTGTCGTGGTTTTTCCACTGATCACAGTCACTCATCTTTAATTTAGAATCTATAAAGTGCTTGATTGCTGCTGTTGTTAAATGATATTTTCGAAGAGTTGCATGGATTTCATAATGTTTTCATCCTGTATAGAAGAAATCAGAACACTGTGACTTTTTGAATTACAACAAAAGCTGTTAGACAGTAAATCTGATAAAAGCTAAAGGAATTAAACCCTCCAAGGTGAACCTTTAAAAGGCTTTTCTGGATGAAGAAGATTCTTCAGTCCATTGATCTCATCCTTCCAAAATATTAACTCAATTCCTGATTATACATCACTTGAATTTTAAAATCTTATCCTTATGAAAACAATCTTTGGTCTTAATTGCACCTCCCTATCTCCATAATCTCATCCAATCTTTAAATACTCTGAGATATCTCTATGCCTTTAATTCTGGTCACTTGAGCATCAAGATTTTAATTGCTAACTCTGCTATTGACTGTCAATGCCCTGAGCTTCAGAATTTCTCCTCAAACATCTTTGCCTCAAACCTCCCTTTGATGTTTAACGGTAATACCATTGATGAATCCTCCACCATCGCACAGTGGCTCAGTGGTTAGCACTTCTGCCTCACAGCACAGGGGACCCAGGTTCAATTCTAACCTGGGTGACTGTCTGTGTGGAGTTAGCACATTCTCCCTGTGTCTGTGTGGGTTTTCTCTGGATGCTCTGGTTTCCTCCCACAGTTCAAAGATGTGCAAGTTAGGTGGATTGGTCATGCTAAATTGCCAATAGTGTCCAAGGGTGTGTAGTTTAGATGGATTAGCCATGGGAAATGCAGGGATAGAGTAGGAGGTGAGTCTGGGTGGGATGCTCTTCAGAGAGTCAGAGTGGACTTGTTGGGCTTGAATGGCCTGTTTCCACGCTGTAGGATTCTATGAACATTACTAGCAGTTGCCATTGACCAGAAAATTGACTGGATAGGCCATATAATTGCAAAAATGCGTGGGTATACAGTTTGGGTAAGCACTGACCAACTGTATTTCCTGAAATGATTAAATAGAGTCATTTAAAGTCATGGAAGGCCTTAAGACAGTGGGCATACAATGCTTATTTTGAGGGCAAAATGAGCAGCTATCAATATAAGATGGTCATTAAAAATCCACTAAGGAATTCAGAAGTAACTTCTTTCCAACAGAATGATGACAATGTTGAGCTCAATACCCCAGGGAATGGCTGAAGTGCATACTTTGGAGGCATTATGGGGAAGCTAGATAAGCATGAGGGAAAAGGAAATAGAGGGATACAATAAGAGATTGAGATAAAATATTTGGAGGGGTGGAATTAATGCAGTATAAATATTGACAGGGAGTGAGTGGACCAAATAGCCTGTTTCTATATATTCTGTATCTTATAGGCATAATAACTCCTCATGTGGCTTGATGTCATATTTTGTTTGATAATACTCCTGGGGCCTTGGGACATTTTATTATATCTAAGGTGTGCAATTCAAGTTGATGTTGTTTATTTCAAGTGGAAAACTAAATAGCTGTGTGCTTAAAGCATCTGGAGTGAGCAACTTTGGAACACAGCGTGTTACAGTGAGAGAGAAAACAGGCAAAAGAGACAAAAGGAAGAAACAGAATTATGGATACTACTAAATGGCAAACTACTCACTTTTTGGCAGGTATCAATGAATTCATCAATAGTGACAACTCCATCTTTATTTTTATCCATTTTCTGTTAAAAATATAAAGCAAAAAATTACATTATTAATGAAAGAGAGAAGGCATAATGCTGAGCAACTGAGATAACACCATATAATGTAAGGAAATGGCAAAACTTTTGTGAAAAAATCAAAGAAGGAACAGTAAGCACAGTTTGCATTTGTTAACATATTTCTGGTTATTTAAATATCTTGGAATGATGAAGGTGTCCTCTATTGTGCAATAAAGCTGTGCAAATAACTCAGGAGACTGTACCCTGGAGCATCGGAGGCTGAGGGGTGACCTTATAGAGATTTATAAAATCATAAGCGACATAGATCGGGTAAATAGCCAAGGTCTTTTCCCCAGGTTAGGGGAGTCCAAGACTGGAGGGCGTACATTTAAGTAGAGAGGGGAAAGATTTAAAAATGTCCTGAGGGACAACTTTTTCACGCAGAGGGTGGTTCCTATATTGAAGAAGCTGCCAGAAGAAGTGGTGGCAGCGGATACAATTACAACATTTAAAAGTCAGCCCAATGTTCATTAAGACCCATACATTTTTAGCAATATCTCTGGTGCACACATGTCTAACAGCTGGGGTATAATCAAATACATTTGAAATAATATTTAAAACTGAACAACTAAGAAAAAATCTAACTTGTATTTTTCTCACTTTTCTTTGTTAAACATGTTATGTTTGTGCTCACTGTAAAATTGTACATCACAAACCTGGAAAAAAATCTCAACATGTTGTCTGGGCGTTTCCTCTCTGAGAATAGGATAAGTGTATTTTCCCATCATGTCATAAATAGATTTCATTATGTCCAACATCTCCTACAAACCATAATGATTGGAAAACATTTGGTTAGATAAAGCCAATAAGTGCAAAAGTTGTCCATTTCACATTTTATTTAATACATTCACAGAATGAGGGTGTCGCTGGCTGGGCAGTATTTATTGCCCAGAGGACAGTTAAGAGTCAACCACATTGCTGTGGGTCTGGAGTCATAGTAGCCCAGACTGGGTAAGGATGACAGACACTTTCCCTAAAAGACTTTAGTGAACCAAATGGATTTTTCCAATAATCAACAATGGATTGACGGTCATCATTAAACTCTTAATTCGAGATTTATATTCAATTCAAATGCCACCATCCCTGTTGCAGGATTTGAACCTGGGTTCCTAGAACATTACCTGAGGCCCTAGATTAACAGTCCAGAGATAATACCACTAGGCTATCACTTCCCCACACATTTACATATCGTCACATTTTGCACAAATTTTCTCAATGGCTTTTCTAGCTTCAACCTGCTCATCTCCACTTTCCAGAAATCTCAGTGTGCCTTTTCTTCCTGATGGGTCTGTAGATCCTAGACTCTCCTCGAGGATTGGGATTCATTGTGAATGCAGAATTGGATCCTGCTGGAATGTCAGTACTAACTGGGAACCTGCTGCAAGAAAAGTCTTTTACAGCTTGGAGTTGGAGGAAGTAGAGGTGGGTTTAAGAAACTGCTGTTCTGTTCTAGGCCTTTGCTGCCGTTTATTTTCAACAGGGAACAGCTGGCATAGTAATATCTGCACAGGGAGGAAAGTTCACAGTTATATAGCAGTGCAGCCACAGATCTTCCCAACTAATTCTCATCACTTTCCACCTTCACTTTTCAAGCTGAGTGAAATCCAGCAGAACATGATAAGAGGAGTACAGTGAATTGCAGGACACTACTCAACTGAACGAAACCTATGTGATTGAGGTTCTTCTGTTCAACTTCATCACATTAATACATTTATAAACACCAAGCTTTCAAATTGCACTTTACATAAGTTTAGTGATGGAACGTTTAATTTCTGTGTGGCATTGGGAAGTGGGATGTTAAGAAGTAATTAAGTTAACATTTTTTTGTGTCAAATACTATTACTTGGCTTTAAGGAAAAAGAAACACGGGGTGAACTGGGGTTATATTTGGGATACATTTGCATTTAGGCTCCAGTCAGTCTAGAATTATCAGCGAACAAAAGCCAAAACTGAGGTTTTGATTGTCTAGAAGCATTCCTGGAGAGAAAGAGGTGTAAATATAGAGTAAACATTAACGTTAGATTCTTGTAGGGAAGCCATGAGAACTCTTTCCATTAGTAAAGAATTCAAAGTAATTGGGTTGAAGTTATTAGTTATATTGATATAGATGTACAACATGGATAACAACTGCCAGATCTCTCTCCCCTCTCCAAGTTCTTTTCCAGCCCCAAGGAGATGCCTGAAAACCTGATACTGGGCAGGCCTCACAACCTTCAGGACTCCTACTTATGGCTGCAGACAGTAGTATCTATCCTCTTGATTCTGCTGATCCCTATCACAACACCATTCCTATTTCCTGCCCCACTTGAATGGCTTCCTGTACCGAGGTGAAGCAGTTAGTTTGCCCACCTTCCCCGCAGACCCAACTCTTGTCCAGCAAGATTGCAAGAATGTCATAACTGTCGGACATTTCCAAGGCCAAGCCTCCTCAATTGTTGCAAAAAAACTCCTTGCTAATGGGTACCCTATCCAGGTGTCTTTGCACTTGCCAGGGGTTTGTAGTCATTTCAGGACCCTTCCTAAGGGGCTGTTGCTGTGAGTGAAAGTTAGAAATTAGTAGTATAGAAGTCTCTAGAAAGTAACCACTTTCTAGTGACCTTATAGTTGATGGGTAATTGTCATAGGCTTGGTGTTTCACCATAAGAAATCTGAGGTGACTAAGGTAGTTGTGTAGGAGATAACAAGGTGTAGAGCTGGATGAACAGCAGGCCAAGCAGCATCAGAGGAGCAGGAAGGCTGACGTTTTGGGCCTAGACCCTTCTTCAGAAATGGGGGAGGGGAAGGGGGTTCTGCAGCAGTGATTCAAGTAATTATTATAGGTTTGAGATTTGCCATAAGAAATCTGGATTCAGATTTGAATCCATTATTAGGGGTAAAGATAAGTACTACAAGAAAAACTGAACAGTCATTTTTTCAGAAAGCTGCTTACAGCAGAGAGCACTCAGCAGAATCTGTGAAGTATAAAGCTGTGAAAAGAAAAAGGTATTGAGTAATGGTGGTCACAACATTATCATCAATTGTGATAAAACCCCAGCTGATTCACTAAAATCATCAATGGTTTCAACTACAAATTTTGTACTTCCTCTTCCCAAATCCAAATAATTTATGTAAGTGATGGAATATGAGATCCCAGCACCAATTCTTGTGGAATACATCTCCTCACAATTTGAGAGAGGTGTCTATTTCCTAATTCTGTCTAGTGGTTGTCACTGACAAGGCAAGCATTTGTTGCCCATCCCTAATTGCTCTTGAACTGAGTGGCTGGCTCACCAGTTTAGATGGAATTTAACAGTTAGATACATCACTGGGGGCCTGGAGTAACACATAGGCCAGAACCGGTAAAGATGGCACATTTCCTTCCCTAAAGGGTGCTAGTGATCCAGTTTTTACAATAATCATAGCTTCATCACTGATGGCTAGCTTTTATAATTCCATATTCATTAATTAAATTCATCTATTATGGAGACATTTGAACCCATGTCCCCAGGACATTAGACTGAGCCCCTGTCCACTAACACTAACACTGTAACGTTACCAAAATAGTTCCAGCCATTCATTATCATCTTCCTTGAAATCAGATGATAAGTATTGAGAAAGTGTGAACAGGCTGGAGCTATTTCAATTGATTTATACAAGTCTTTAAAGTTATATAAAGTTTTTCTAGGGAGTAGACAAAATGTTCCACTTGTGAGCAAATATAACACAATGGGTTATAAATATAAAATAATCGTTAATAAATTCAGTAAGGCTTTCAGGACAAGACTTCTTTATCAAGTGAGAAATCAGAATGTGATATTTGCTGTCACAAGGAATTCTTGAGGTGACTAACATAGATACATTTAAAGCAAAGCTAGTGAAGTACATGAGCAGGAAGGGCATTTTGATGCAGTTAGATGAAATAGTCTGGTCGAATCTCACGTAGAGCGTTAAGACTAGTATAGACCTATTGGGATGGCCTGTTTCTTTGTTATAAATTCTAAATATTGTTAAGAAGGCTAAGAAGCTCATTAGGAGCATAACACAGCTGGGCCGAATGAATAAACTCTATGCAAACCCCACTTCTTGCAAGGTTAGGCTTTGGGTAAGTCTTGCTTCAGTAAGCATGTGTTTAAAAAATGTTTTGCTCTGATGACTACCTAATCAAATTTCTTCTTTAATTTTTTTATCATTTAATCTTCATTTTGTATACTAGCTACACTTAAAGAAATGCTCCCATTATTTGAAAGTACAAATACATTTTCAATAGGGCTTACAGAATGTAGGCCACTCATAATTTTCTTGGTACCTGAGGCAGAAATGTTCTGAGTATTATGAAACCCAAGTGCTACAACTTATTTTGATCCAAAGTTAATTACAGTCGATGAATAGAAGTTATTTAAAATGACATCAGCTATCAGTTGAAGCGTCTCCCTGACATATTAACATTTCTACTTTATTGGAACAAAATGACACCAGGAAATCACAAATATATAATAATGCCTTCATCAATGCATTTGGCACTTCTTGTATGAGCTGCAAGAGAACAGAACACTGCCAGATGCTATTGTGACAAAGATAAATATTTCAAGAGTTTGTTCTTGGCAGGTCCAGTGAAAAGAAAAGAAACCTGGACAAATAGCATGGGATGTTTTGAAAATGTCACAGACATTCTCTAAACAAATGCCTGAAATTGACTGAGATAATGAAAGAAAGGCAGTTCTATTTCAATGTCACCCTTTAGATCTCAATTTACCACTTAGCATTGCAAAGATATTTGGTGTCATCCTTTCCTGACCCACTACAGGTAGACAGTAAAGAGTTAGCGCTCAGATTTCAGGTAGATTCCACTCCTCATTGTAGCTGTATTGATCAGGGAGAGGAGGGTGTCACTACAGTTGAGGCAGGTCTGAGGACCCAAGGGATTACAATTGAAGCTCTTCAGACCTTGCAATTTTTCAGTAGTTCTGAGGTACTTGCAAATAGTGCAGAAGACTGGGAACTGCACCTTTGTATGGGAAGCCATTCAAGTGGGGGAGGCAATAGGGGAATGTTGTTTTCTGAGGAAGGATCACCGGACCCGAAACATTAACTCTGAATTTTTCTTCACAGATGCTGCTAGACCTGCTGAGCTTTTCCAGCAACTTTGTTTTTGTTCTAGTAGGGTACAGGCTTATCAGGGAGACAGATGCTGTTCTCTGTGGCTATGAACAGGAGTCCTGAAGGCTGTGTGGCATGCCCTGGTGTCAGGGTTAAGGACATCTCTTCAGGGCTGGAGAAGAATTTGGAGAGGGAAGGGAAGTATCCATGTTGGCACTAATGGCATTGGTAGGACTGGAAAGGAGGTTTTACTGACTGACTTTGAATAGCCAGGAGCTAAATTAAGAAACAGAATCCTCAAGGTATTAATCTCTAGATTACTTCCTGAACCACAGACAAACTGCCAGAGGATAATAAAGTCAAGAAGTTAAATATGGCCTCAAAGATCGGTGTGGGTAAAATGGGTTTCATTTTGTGGGGTACTAGCAGCAGTGCTGGGGTAGAAAGAGCTGTTCGGGCAGGATGAGCTTCACTTGAAATGTGCTGAGACTAATGTCTGGGCGAATCGAAAAACTAGGGCTGTTGAGAGGCTTTGAACTAATTAGAGGGGAAGGATTTAGGAGAGGGGAAATGTAACTTTACAAAGCAAGAGGATACTGCAGTATTCCAGGGCAGCCTTTTGGACAATGATAGGGGGGTGACAGGAAGGGACAGAATATCCAAACTTACAAAAGCTGCAGTAAATAGGGTCAAAAAGAGAACAACTTGCTAAAAGGCAAAAATAATGTCTCTTTATTTGAAAGCACAAAGTATTTGGAATAAAATAAATAAATTAATGACACAAACCTAGGTTAATATGTGTGATCTCATAGCCATTACAGAAACATGGTTACAAGGAGATCACAGCTGGAAACTAAATATTCAGGGATATCTGTCTTTTTGAAAGGATGGGCAGGAAGGAGAGTATGGTGGGGTAACATTGTTGGTAGTGGGAGGAATAAGTACAATAGCAAGAAATAATCTTGAATCAGAAGATGTAGAATCCATATGGGTGGAGATTAAAATAAAAAAGGGAAAGAAGATACTGGTAGTCGTCGAGAGGTCCTCCAACAGTATGTATATGGTGGGACAGAAAATAAATCAGGAGACAATAAAAGGATATAACAAAGGCACATTAATCATGGGTGATTTTAATTTTCATGCAGATTGGGTTGGTCAGATTGGCAGAGCAAGAAGTGCAGAAGAATTCATGGAGCGTATTTGGGACAGTTTCCTCGAACAATATGGGATGGATCCAAACAGGGATCAGGCTATTTTGGATTTGGTGATGTACAATAAAGCAGGTTTAATAAATAATGTCAGAGCATACAGAATGTTAGGAACAGTGGCCACAACATGGTAGATTTTAGCATTAAGTTTGTGAGGAAGGACCATGTGTTGGAAACAAATGTGCTAAATTTATAGAAGGGTAATTCCAAAGGAATGAGGCAGAGCTGGTTGGAGTAGGCTAGGAAAAGAATTCAGCAGAATAACAGTTGAAGAACAAAGGCAGATGTTTAAGGAAATAGTTCATGGCTCACAGTAACGATATATTCCAATAAGGAAGAAGGATTCCATGAACGAGATAAGCCAACAATAGTCAAATAAGAAAGTTAAGGACGGTATCAAATTGAAAGAAAAAAAATACATACAATCTGGTGAAGACTGTTGGCAAGACAGAAGATTGGTAAAGTTTTAAAAATCAACAAAGATGATGAAGAAAAGGGAGAAAAACAAAATTACACTTGCAAGTAATAAAAAGTTGGATAACAAGAGCTTCTTTAAATATATGGAAAGGAAAGAGAACCCTTAGGGAATGAGACCGGGAGAACAATAATGGGGAACAAAGAAGTAGCAGAGGAGTTGAATAAATACTTTGCATCAGTCTTAGCAGTAGAAGGCACTAATAGCATTCCAAAATTACTAAATATGCAAGAGAAATAACAAAGAGAGGAAATAAATATAATAACTATCATGAGAGAAAAAAGAGCTAGGGAAACTGCTGGAGCTAAAGACTGACAAATCCCCTGGGCCTTGGATGCATCAAAGGGGATACTAAAGAATGTAGTTACAGAGATAGTGGATGCACTGGTAGTAATCTTTCAGGAATCCTTATATTCTGGAAAAGTCCCAGATGATTGAAACTGCCAATGTAACACCCTTATTTAAAAGGGAAAGACACAGTTTATTTAATATCTGTTATTAGGAAAATGTTTGAGTCTATTATAAAGGATGTGATAACAGAGGATATAGAAATATATAATATGATCATGGCTCCAGGAACAGAAAATCATGTCTGACATTTTGACTAGAATTCTTTGAGGCGGTTAAAAGCAGGATAGATAAAGGGGAAGCAGTAGATGTAATATATTTGGATTTTCAGAAGGCATTTGATAAGGTAGCATATATCAGGCTTCTTAATCAGATGAGATAGTAGTATTAGAGGTAGTATATTAGCATAGATAGAGGATTGCCTAACTAATAGACAGAGAGTTGGGACAAGGGGGGCATTTTCCCTATGGCAACCTGTGACTAGTGGAATGCTGGGCCACAATTATTTACAATATGTATTAACAATTTTCATGAGGGAAGTGAATGTATTATAGTCAAGTTAGTTGATGTCACAAAAATATGTGGAAAGGCAAGTGGTGAGAATGATACAGAGTCTGCAGAGGGATACAGATAGGTGAGTGGGCAAAAGCTTAGCAGATGGAATATAATATGAGGGGAAATGTGAGGTTATACACTCTGGCAGGGAGAGTAGAGGAGAATGGAAGAAGACTGCAGTAAACTATTGAACCGACAGATTTGATTTGATTTCTTTTGATTCATTATTGTCACTTGTACCTAGGTACAGTGAAAAGTCTTGTTTTGCGTGCAGTATTGGCAGATCATACCATACAAAAGGATGTGCATAAGGATAATAGAACAGAAAGATTTGGGAGTCCTTGTCCATGAATCACAAAATGCTAGCATCCAAATTCAATGGGTAATAAGGAATGTTTGTGTTTAGATCATAGAATCCCCACAGTGTGTAAACAGGCCCTTCAATCCAATAAGTCCATATTGACCTTCACAGCAACCCACCCAGACCCATTCCCCTATAACCCACCTAATATACACATCCCTGGACAGTATGGGCAATTTAGCACAGCCAAATCCACCTAGCCTGCACATCTTTGGACTGTGGGAAGAAACCACAGCACCCAGAGGAAACCCACACAGACACAGGGAGAATGTGCAAACTCCACACAGACAGTCGCCCGATGGTGGAATTGAACCTGGATCCCTGGTGCTATGAGGCAGCAATGCTAACCTCTGAGCCACCGTTTACTTCAAAGGGAAAGGAGTATAAAAGTAGGGACCTTTGCTAAAACTAAACAAGGCTCTAATTAGACCACCGCTGGAATACTGTGAACAGTTTTGGATTCCTTGTCTAAGGAATGATATACTGGAATTGCAGGCAGTTAAGACAAGGTTCATTAGACTGATACCAGGTATACAGGGACTGTCATATGAGGAGAGTTTGAGTTGATTGGGCCTGTACTTGTTGCAGTATAGTACAATGAGAGGTGATCTCTTTGAAGCATGTAAGATTTTTAGGGCAGTCATTTCCTCTCATGGGAGATCCTATAACCAGAGGGCATAATCTCAGAATGAAGGGTTGCTTACTTAAGACAGAAATGAGAAGGAATTTCTTTTCTCAGAGCATAGTCAAGCTGTGAAATTCTTTACGGAAGAGGGCTGTCAAGACTGAGTCATTAAGTATTTTCATGGCTGAGATAGGTTATTAATTAGTAATAGGATCAAGGGTTATTGGGAGAAGGCAGTAAAGTAGAGTCAAGGATTATCAGATCAGCCATGATCTTATTGAATAGTGGAGCAGACTCAATGGCTGAATGGCCTACCTCTGCTTCACCATCTTATGGTCTTATGATTTTGCCAAATTTAGACATTGTTAAAAGAAACATAGAATAAGCCTCTGGCACAGCAGCGATAAGTTGTTAAACTGAACGTGGGAAGGAAAGGGCTTACAGCTGATACGCTACTGATTCTGGGGTGGTCCTCTGCCTCTTTGTGCTGCAACATGCAAAAGCCAGTTAGTGACTCTGCCACATTCACTGTTACAACGGCTGCCGGATCCTGCAAGTATAACACTATTTCAAGGGGCAGAGAGGGGTAAGGAGGTAGGTGTCACCGCAAGGAGCAGGGAGAGGTAGAGAGATGGGTATCAGCATAACCTGAAGTAGCCTTATCCATCTGTTAATTGAGCAGTCACAAGAATATGGCATCAAGACATAATACAACTTATTATTTTATCTGCTGTTTAGAGAAACTCTGACGCAAACACCAAACTTAAGCGGAACATTTTCTTGGCAAGGTGGTTACGCATCAGTTAGGATTTAGCTGTAAAGTTTCACTGTTTTGCGTGAAATTTCCAGTCTATATTTGTAAAACATCTATGTTTAGGATTCATTCCAATTACAGATCATTGCAGATATACACTGTAAAGATACTCTGCCACAAATATGGGACAGGACAATATTACGCATTTACAAAATCATGCAGTAAGTTACAAAAGTTCAAGTTTAACGAGCAAAGTACCAGGTTAATAAATGAAAACAGTACAAGTCTTTATACTTTCCATTGTGATTTGGATGAAGACTATATTCCTGTCTCTATAGAGGATGGTAGTGCCATCTGTTTATTCATTGTGTACTTTATCCGACGTGCAAGAATTAATGGCGAATATTAGAAAGTATTAGATAGTAAACTGAAGCTAAAAATTTTATTGATTTCCATTCAAACCCTCAGTTAAATAAAAAGAAGGCAGTGAGTCAAAATATTGAGAAATATCTACACACATATAAACAGAAGGGGGTGTCCAATTCATTATATGCTACCGTCCGTGTTCCAAAGAAACTCTTTTTCAACTCAAAAATTCTCAGGGAAGAAAGTGCTTTGTGTATTATACCTCCTTAGTTACATATCCATCCTTATTTATGTCGTATAAATTGAAAGCCCATTTAAGTTTGTCCTGTATTGTTCCACGAAGTAAAACAGAAAGGCCCATAACAAAATCCTGAAATGACAAAAAAATTGAAGTTTAAGAAAAATTCAGCCCTTTTTAAAACAGAGCAATTTCAATATTTTAATGATGTTACATTTGTATGTGGTCTGTGAATGCACCGTACTACCTAACATTATGTGTACAAAATCTTTTCAATTTGTATGCAGTGCTTAATGTCCACCAGTGGGTGTCATTATAGCAGTGTATTTGCCAGGGAATGGTACATACTAGTTCAAGCTAAGTAAAGGTCATGATAGCATTACATTCCCTTCAGTCCCACAGAATTCCAACCTTTTGTTTATGCCCTGCGCTGGATTGTGTTGACTATTGTGGGGTCCATTCTACTTTCCAGATCAATTGATTTAGCAGCAGTATTGGTCTCTGTTGCTGTTTCTTTCTTCCCAGCAATTATTAGAAAACTACTAGGTGCGCTTCATGGGTCGTATTCGACCTATTGATCGCTTGGCTGCTTAGCTGTTCATTTTGTTTGTTTGCCGGCTAAACTGTTGTTCAGATTATTTGCTTGTCAGCTTGCAAGAAAACCTCATCAGGGTTACTGTGGCAATGCTGATTACTACCAGGCCCTTAAGGCACTCAGTAACCAACCAGGCCCTTAAGACGCTCAGTCACCCACCACCCTTCCCTCACCCTGTTGACCAGTAGAGGCAGGAGTCAGTTTTCATCCTGCACATGTCAATCAGTTTCTTAATTATTCCAATTTTTGTTTAGTAGGTCCTAAGAAAACAGTCACCATTATTCAATTAATATTTAACTTTATTGGTTGAGGCCTAGATCTTAATAACATTGCTGATGTTTAAGACCGTTTCAATTTATTAACACAACAACTTGATTCAGTTCCTTCTTCTTCATCTTCTCATTCTTCCATCTTATTCTGGTTCTCCATCCTAATTTCCATTGTTTAACCTCTCTCTAATCTTGTTCTTGAATTCCTTCTGCCTCCAACCCAGTTCTCATATCATCTGGTGGTGTTTGGTTCTGTTTTGACATTATTATTCATCCCTCCTTGTCTGCACTTGGTCTTGTCTCCTTGTGTGCAACACCATGGGAAGTTGACCAGTGGCTGTAGTGTAAACATCCTGCAGAAATTACTAGGAAAACTCAGCAGGTCTGGCAGCATCTGTGGTGAGAAATCAGAATTAAACCCATTCTGAAGAAGGGTCACTGGACCCAAGGCCCAAAATCAGAGTTAATGCCTTGGGTCCAGCGACCCTTATTCAGAACAGGTTTAATTCTGATTTCTCTCCACAGATGCTGCTAGGTCTGCTGAGTTTGTTCAGCAATTATTGTTTTTGTTTTTGTTTCTGATATCTAGCGTCTGCAGTTCTATTGATTTTCTTGAATAAACATTCTGATTGTTTTAAAGGAGCGAAATCTCAAACTTTCTGAGGAACATCATGGGCAATCTATAGTAGAAATAGTAAATCAGTATAACCAACAACACAATAGATTTTTTTTCAAAAATTACTTTTAAAATATGATCCTGGGTATTCTCTTCTTATTCCAGTAATTTGAGTGGACAGTAAATTTGGTATCATTGTGCCACCAATACCATCAAAATCATATGAAAGTCGGCCATTCATTTAATTACGGTTTGTGGGTTGTTGCTGTGGGCAATTTGACTGCTGTGTTTGAAGTACATTAACTGCATAGCAGTCAAAGTTTTTCTGCTCATTAAGTACTTGAAGACAGTGATGTGAGAAGTTGTTCTATAATTGATAGTCTTTGTTGCAAGAAAATTATAAGAAAATTAATACAAATATAAACTTGACTCTTCCACTGAATATTTATAAGCTATTTTGTTATGGAGTCAACTCAAACAAGTCAATCTCCTGCATAAATATTGTTACAGGTAGATTGGTGAAGATGAGGTGAAGTATGTTTTTTCCTTCTCGATTAATTCTGATACCATCTGCAGCAGGCATCTAGCAGTTATATCCTATAGGACTTGACCATCTGCCCAGTGGTGGGGTGAAAGAGCCACTCTTGGTTATGGATATTGATGTTCCCAGCCAGAGTCCAATCTATGCCCTTGCAACCCTCACTGCATCTTCCAAGTGGTGTTCAACATGGAGGAGTATTAATTGGTCAGCAATAAGTGATAATTGACATGTGGTTTTTGTGCCCACTTTGACTTGACACCATGAGAGTTAATGCTGTCTGGAGTCTATGTTCAGGTCTCCCAGGGCGACTCACTCATGACTATATGCCACATCTGGTGGGCCTGTCCTTTCAGTAGGGCAGGATACGCCCATAGATGGTGATAGTGTTGTCTGGGACATTGTGGGTAAGGAATGATTCTATGAGAATGACTATGTCAGGCTGTTGCTTGACTAGTCTGTGGGATTGCTCTCCCAAGTTTGGCACTGGACCCCAAATGTTAGCACAATCTTTGCACGATTAACAGGGCTACATGTGCCATTGATATTTCTGGAACTTTGGTTGATGCCAATGGTCAGTCCAGCTTTATTCCTTTTGTCAGACAGGTGCTCATTCATCCACAGATTCTCTATTTTTGTTATGATGTCGTGCAGCCTCCTGGAAGGAGATCTATTACCGACTGGATCAGGTGGCTACATATTAAGAGTCATTGATCTCATTGTCATGATCCACTTCAGCTTTGGCCTCTGAATCCTGCACAGATATCTTTTCAATCTCCCAGCATTAAATAGGACAGGTGGCGTTTGGCTTGCTTGTCAGAATCAGAATTTATGTCAACCTCGCCAGTCGGGTTGTCAGTCAGAATGAGCAAGAAGTTGGCTTTGCAGTGTTGGCTGACTTCCTGCATGTGCAGGGTGCCATTTAATTCACACACAACACAACCAGGAGCATTCATTAATTGCAAAGGCTTGCATTCCATCAAAAACAAAAAGGGGGAAACCAAAAAAAAACAATGCTTCTGCAGCTCTGCGCAAGATGCCCAGAGAGCTGCTACAATGCTTTCTTCCTTTGACAATCTGCTCTCCATGATCTCTTCACATATTTGAGCAGACTAAAACAACAGCTGCTCAGTTACCAGGGACAGCCAATGCAAACTTAGCACATCACACCCAACGGAAACCCTAAAGTAAAGCCCCAATAGCATAAAAATTAATATTATATCGTCACCAGATGTGTAAATAGACAAGCAAACTACACAGCATTTAGGGCTTGGATAGACCTGGAGCTGCCTAAAATGCACTTGGCTTTTCCAAACTAGTGCTAGTTTGCCATTTTGTATACAGCATTCCATAATTTGTCTTGGGACTGTCTAAGGAACACAGACTCAGATCCTCTGGGGAGGAGGAGAAAGTAGGGCACAGTGGTGAGGACTACTTCTCACGAGCTGCTCATATTGTAAGATTCACTTAGATTGCTCCACTGAGCCCATGTCACCAGAAAATCCAACTCTTCCATCTTCTTCCCAGGCTCCATGCAACCATGCCACTGATGCAAATGACACAGTTTTGCAACCAGCCAATCCCTCCTGCAATGGTCCCCATCAATGCATGCCCTCACATTAATGATCAAACAATTCTGAAAGTGACTTACAGACAACACTCAAGAATGGATAAAATAGGAAAGCTGTGAAAAGGCATAACATTTACAATAGCTAACTAAAGGTCAAAAACTAATTGACACAAAACTCTCTTTGATATAACAAAGATTAGAGAAATTGGGCTTATTCTCCCTGCAGGAGAGAAGATTAAGAGGCGACCTTATTGAGGTGTTCAAAATTACTAACAATCTTGACAGGGTAAAGAAGGATATTCTGTTTCCGCGAATTGGTATGCCAGGGGTCACAATTTCAAAACTGTCAGCAGGTCAGCGAGGAGTGAGATGAGGAGAAACTTCTTTATTCAGAGACTTGTTAGGATTTGGAATGAGCTGCTCGAGAGAATGGTGGAGGCAGATTCCATGGGAAGTTTCAAAAGAGAGCTAGATATATATTTGAAAGTGATGAATTTAGAGGGCTCTAGGAATAAGGCTGGAGAATGGGACTGGCTGAATAACTCTTTGGGGAACTGGTACAGACACAATGGGCCAAATAGGCTTCTTCTGTACTATAAAATTCTATGATTCTAATTTGTCTAGCTTGTTACAAATACTTCATGGATTCAGATTTAGCACCTTAATTTTAACTACTTTTTGATATTTCCATCACTAATGCCCTGCTATATTTGTTATACCTTCTGTCCTTTGCTGACAGCCTTACATTTATATCGCACTTTTCATAATCCCAGGACATCTTAAACTGCTTTACAGCTAATGGAATAGTCACAGTTGTAATGTAGGAAACACAGGTGCCAATTTATGCACAAACAACAATGTGATAATGAATTGATAATCTATTTATTTATAAAAGAAGTGATGTTGATTGGTGGATAATTATTGGCCAGGACAACGTTATTACTCTTTTTTTTTCAAATATTGCCAAATAACCTTTATAAAAACCGAAAGATCTGCAGATGCTGTAAATCAGAAACAAAAACAGAAGTTGCTGGAAAAGCTCAGCAGGTCTGGCAGCATCTGTGGAAAGAAATCAGAGTTCTGAGTAAGGGTCGCTGGACCTGAAACGTTAACTCTGATTTTGCTCCACAGATGCTGCCAGGCCTGCTGAGCTTTTCCAGTAATTTCTGTTTTTGTGCCAAAGGATCTTCCTTGGCTACCTGGGGGAGCAGATGGGTAATTGGTTATCCAAATGCTGGCACCTCCAATTAAAGTGTTAGGTTAGACTTCTGTTTTGAAGTTATGAAATAGGACTTGAGCTGTTTTTATTTCAAAAATATACTTTAATTTTAAAAAAGAAATTATTTACATACACAGTCACTAAAGCAGTTTGGTTCTGTACAGTCCTTGCATATTGTACTCAAACAAACCCAAGGCATAATATACAAGACTATATTTACATATATTTGAGGCAACAGGAGGGTCTGATAACTGAATGGGCCCCCATTGTACTTTAGTGGAAAGACCTTAGATGGTGGTCTTTCCCCACTGTGCCTTGGTGGCAGCTGCCCCAAGCTTTAGGGCATCCCTCAGCACGTAGTCCTGGAGGTTAGAATGTGCCAATCTGCAACACTAAATCGAGGTCAACTCCTTGCTCTGGAAGACCATCTGGTTTGAGCAGACCAAAGACTCTTTCATTGAGTTGATGGTCCTCCAGGCGCAGTCAGTGTTTGTCTCGGCATGTGTCCAGGGAACAGCCCATGGAGTATAGTGAACACTTCTTTTCATATTTCAAAAATATACTTTATTCATAAAAATATCCTTATATTCATACATAGTCACTAGAGCAGTTCAGCTCTGTGCTGCAAACATTGGAGTTTGACTCTCCCAACACTTGCTTACAATGTTCTGCTGTGTAGGGAATAGTGCTACTAACTGAGCCACTGCTAACATGCTCTGCTTGGGTTTACCTAAATGCTACTCTGTGGTACAGGATTTACTTCCTCTCTAGATCTGTAAATTTCCCCTTACTTGAACCATCTAATCACCAAAATAACCCCAGGTAACTTATTAGCTCTGAACACTATTCACTGCCCTATTTAGATGGCACTGCATTAAAAAGCCTGATGCCTGGTTGAAGTGATATTCACACCAATGGAATGGCTTCCTCTTGTCCCAGACCTGGTGTCAGTTCCACATGAGTAGAAACACCTGCTTCCCAAAAAGATAACCTTTCAGTCATGCATTAAATGTTTTAATCTATTTGACTCTGTGTCAATTTTCATCTGGGTTAAGTAATGGTCTGGATATTAAAGTCTTTGAGGTTTTGTTTTTATCTAATTTTGGATTCTAGCTCATCCAATCAGAAGAATAAAACGAAGAACTGCAGATGCTAGTGATCTGAAACCAAAGCAGAAAGTGCCTGATCCTCAGCTCCCCCACTATAGACCTGAATTTCTACCTTCAGTTTTCAGAAACCTGCACACCAACACCCCCACCCATCCCTCACATTCCCCCTCCCCACTTTTGCAGACCTCCACACTGAGTCCTTGGAACTCACTCGTACCAAATCATTTGAATGTTCTCCAAATATCCCCCAGTGCCCAGACTCTGGGATCGACTCCCCTTGGAGTGGAACACAAATGAAAGCACGTCCCCTTAGTTGTTGGAGCTGACTAAAATATGCATAATACTCAGATTAATTAAATTGCATTAGAAAATGACACTCACCTCAAAACTCACTGATCCATTGTGGTCTGTGTCGAAGGCATTAAACAGAAAGTGTGCATATGTGGTTGCATCTGGAATGGAAAAAAGCAACATTCTCAATAATTCTGTTAAAAATATTATATGCTATAAAACCTCCAATTGTGATAATTTTTTTCATCAAATTTGTCATCAAAATGAATTGACACAATATTGGATCTGTACAACAAATGTGAAATTAAAATAATGAGAATCTTAACTGTCTGGTGTTCTGCATATTTTCAATTTCATGTTGGAAAATAAATCAACCCTGTAGCTCATCACATTTGTGGTCACTGACATTTTCATTATCACTCTATTAAATGTTATCAAGAGCTATTAACCAGAGTTGGAATGTTTCCCTGCATTGATAGATATTATGTTTACTGCACCAACAAACTAATTTATAGATCTGTGCTTGTGTTAGTTATGTGCATTGCAAATACAAAGCTGGTTTGATTTTTGGGGAAATCTAGAAAATCAGAAGTAGTCTGTGGCTAATCCAGCTGTTAATTATAAAGAAACTGAAATTCCTTCAGAGTTTCACTCCTCTGGAATTTCCTGTCAGTCTAAATAATGTTTAGAAACTCTGGCTGTTTTTTCAGAACCTGTAACACAAAAAGTGGATTTGGCAATAGGACTTCTGATTGGATGGTCTTTACTTTGTCTAGGGTGACCAATCAGGTTGAAAGTATCTCATGTCATGTGAGAAAAGATCATATGATATCAGATCAGCTGACATGTGATCACATAGTACCTGCCTGTCATTTGCAACTTAACCTTATAAAGTCAAATCATATACATTCTAAACACTTCCTTCTGTCTTTTAACTGTGAAGGAAGTTTTGCGTGTTTTTTTACAAGCTGGAGCTTCACTGGACCACAGCAACAGGAAAGCAGTTTGCTGTTCCAATAGGACATGCAGTGTGTTTGGCTGTTCCCAGTGCAGGAAGGGCATTGTGTAGGTGTGCTGTATGTCTGCTGGAAGCTCCCTGATTGGCCAGAATGTGATTATTTTAACACCAGCTGGAATTTGTAAGTCTACTGAATACATTTATTGAATGTAGAGTCAGCTTTGAGTGATCCATATTATCAAATCCCAACAAACACCCCTCCCACCAACTACCACCCACCTACCGCCCCCAACCCCACACATGTACCATGGCCCCACTGAAAATGTCGATCCATTGAAGTGGCCAACCATGAACTTTCGGATGTGGTAATCTTCAGTCCCTTCTGTTTTTGGAAAATCTATGGAAGCGCTGTGTTGTCTTTTTGGAAGTGTTGTGATGAGCTGCTTGCGACCTCCCAGAGAGTCCTTGAGTACCTTGCTTCAGCAGGGAGAGCAGTAGTCTGAACTGGCAAGCTGAGAGGCTACACAGCAAGGGCACCAGCCCTGAAACTGGTCAGCAGGTTTCCATTGCCAAGGTATCACTGGCACAACTGACACCGCTAATGGTCGGGTCCCAGGAAGTGTTGTTGAGCAGAGTGATCTAGGGGTACAGATACATAGTTCCTTGAAAGTGGTGTCACAAGTAGGCAGGGTGGTGAAGAAAGCATTTCATGCTTGCCTTCATTGGTCAAAGCATTGAGTACAGGAGTTGGGATGTCATGTTATGGCTGTACAAAACACTGGTAAGGCCACATTTGGAGTACTGTGTACAATTCTGGTCACCCTGCAATAGGAAGGATATTATTAGACTTGTAAGAGTGCAAAAAGATTTACAAGGATGTTACCGACCTGATGGATTGAGCTATAAAGCGAGGCTTTGACTTTTTTTCCCTGGAACATAGGAAGCTGAGGGGTCACCTTATAGAGGTTTATAAAATCATGAGGGACATAGATAAGGAGAATTGCCAAGGTCTTTTCCCCAGGGTAAGAGAGTATTAGAGGGCATAGGCTTAAGGTGAGAGGGGAAAGATTTAAAAGAGACCTGAGGGGCAACTTTTTCACACAGAGGGTGGTGCGTATATGAAATGACCTGCTCGAGGAAGTGTTGAAGGTGAGTACAATTACTACATTTGGACAGTTACATGGATCGGAAAGGTTTAGAGGGATATGGGCCAAACACCGGCAAACGGGACTAGTTCAGAAACCTGGTCGGCATGGACGAGTTTGGCCAAAGTCTGTTTCTGTGATGTATGACTCCATGTTGTGATGGAATTTGTGAGCAAACCTTGCATTTTTTTGAGACAAATCCCAATTGAAAAGGAAAACAGAAAAGGGAGACTGAAAATGGAAACTGATCCTCTTAGTTGTAAGAAAACTGATTGGAAACCAGAGCTTCTGGTTGTGACTATAAAGTATGTGACAGAGCCATCAGAGCTCAGAAGTGTAAGTTGATAAGTTAAATGCTGCAGTACAAAACTGGTAAAGGAGACAGTGGCTAGGCTCAGAATCATAGAATCCCGACATTGTGGAAGCAGACCATCCAGCCCATCGAGTACACCCAGACCCACCCCCAATTCTGTCCCTGCATTTCCCACCTTAGACACTATGGGCAATTTAGCATGGCCAATCCACCTAACTTGTACATGTTTGGAGTATGGGAGGAAACCGGAGCAATCCCACGCAGAAAAGGGGAGAATGTGTAAACTCGACACAGTCGCCTGAGGCTGGAATCAAACCCAGGTCCCTGGTGCTGTGAGGCAGCAGTGCTAACCATTGACCCACCATGCTGCCTTAGAAGCCAACAGTAGTCAAATACACAGTTATTGCTGCTATTTCTGTTACTTGATGATGCTACTGATGGATCCACACCATCCTGCCATAATAAGCATAGCTGAGGAGACCTTGCAGATATGTGCCATCTCTGGTGAAGACCGTATCCATGGAACATTGAGTGGTTGTGTCATGCTGTTCGCTAGAGAACAAGCTAAACCTTTGAAGAGGAGCTAAAGTTTTTTGTGAGGACGATACAATTTTGAAAGCATTTGTGACTGAAATTGACACCTTATAGACTGAATGGACTACTGGGCCAAATCATAAGATGCGTTGTTTTTTTTTCTATTTGATGTTTAATATGTGATTTTTAAAAAAAAAAAGTGCCTGTCACTTCTGTTTAAATGTAATTAATTCTGGACTTAGGGTATAGGAGAATGTATGAGATAATACTTAGTGTTTGCAACGTTTGACACTTATATGGTAAAAACTTATTTTGTTTAAAACAATGCAACATTGTGCCTTCATTTTTTTCAGTCAATAACTAGGACTTTTAATTTTTTTTAAAAGTTAGCCATTTCAATTGAAATTGTAACATTGCTGAGTTCCCCAAGGTGGTGCCTCAATAATCTATTGGAAGGCAGATTGCTGGCCTTCCCTAAGAACTGCCAAGCCCCTTTGCGAACTGGGGTTTGCAACCACAATGGCAGCCCTGAGTCAGCCAGGAAACAAGCATGGATCTTATGACCACCATTTGAGACTTATTTGTAACACCAAGATGTCAGGTGTCAGTTCTGAGGAAGGGTCACCGGACCCGAAACGGTTTTTTCCTTCTCCGATGCTGCCAGACCTGCTGAGCTTTTCCAGCAACTTTGGGTTTGTGTTGGGTAGTTCCACTGGTTAGGCACCAGAGGCTAAAGATTGGCCACTTGATGCCATTATACTTTGGTCACCACTGCTGTAATTGGTCAGCACTTCCATGATGGAAAGGCTGCCCCCTGGCATGTTGGAGCTGGCTTACTTTATGCTCCTTAGCAGTGACAACAAGGTTTTTTGGCAGGCCCATCCTCATCTCACCCTTGCTGGTTCAGATGCAGCCTATCATAGCCAGTGCAGTGGGAAATAGATGTTGTGCGAAGATGCATTCACTGACCTTGCCTACCCATGTGAAGTAATTAAACTTCATGTGACACCGTTACAGAATTCTAAGGGTGAAACTCTGGGTATTGACCTTTATTGCCGCCTTCTCCCATTCCTTTTGGAGGTTGCTTGTTCTTTGAAGACTGCCTGACTTCATGCCGAGACCTGAAATCTATCCTCCCTTGATCTCCACTGTTAAGCCCTCCACTGCTACATCCAGCAATGAGAGTGGGGGTGGAGGGAAGGTAAATTAATTGTGTGTGATGGTAACCCTGATACCTACGCTCCTCTACATTGAGAGGTCTGGGTTGGCCATTTCAAAAGAACATAAGAACGTAACAAATAGGAGCAGGAGTAGGCTATCGAGCCTGCTTTAGCATTCAATATGATCATGGATGATCTTTTTGCGGAATCAACTCCACTTACCCACTCACTCACTATAACCTTTAATTCCTTTACTGTTCAAAAATCTATTTACCTTAGCCTTAAAAACATTTAACAAGGTAGCCTCAACTGCTTCACTGCGCAGGGAAATCCACAGATTCACAACCTTTTGGATGAAGAAGTTCCTCCTCAACTCAGTCCTAAATCTGCTCCTCTTAATTTTGAGGCTATGCCCCCTAATTCTAGTTTCACCCACCAGTGGAAACAGCCTCCCTCCTTCTATCTTATCTATTCCCTTAATAATTTTGTGTTTCTATTAGATTTCCCCTCTCCCTGCTCTAACTTCCAATGAATATAGACCCAGTCTATTCAATCTCTCCTCAAAGCCAACTTTCTCAGTTCGGGAATTGATCTCGTGAACCTCCTCTGCACCCCATCCAGTACATCCTTTCTCAAATAAGGAGACCAAAATTGCACACAGTACTCCAGGTGTAGCCTCGCTAGCATCCTATACTGCTGTAGCATAACCTCCCTGTTTTTAAACTGCATCCCTTTAGCAATGAAGGAAAATATCCATTTGCCTTCTGAATTACCTGTTGCACCTGCAAACCAATCTTTTCTGATTCATGCACAAGGAAACCCACGTCCCTCTTCCTAACAGCGTGCTGCAATTTTTCACCATTTAAATAGTAGTTCATTTTGCTGTTATTTCTACCAAAATGGATGACGTCATACTTACCAACATTGTACTCCATGTATTTCGTGGATGGCCTTCCTGCTCAGACACTAATGAGACCTTGAAGTGAGCAATTAATACACTCAAAGTCCTTACTGTGTCCCCACTGGCATTTAACCAGCAGCAGGCTTTGAA